CTGGCGCTCCCGAAGACGCCGAACACCTTCAGGTCAGCGGCAAACTCTGTGGCACAGCTGCAAGAAGAGCTCTCTTTCTGTTGAGACCCACACATTTTCCATGCTTCACGGAGACATCCAAGTGCACATCTCCGGAACTGTCCTGAAGCTTGGCAATGGTGACACTGCTAAGACTCACTGAAGTGTTGAGTCACCAACGCATCAGACCTCATTTACAACATTGTATAACAAGGTTCTTGTGTGTGTGTGTTTTGTTCTGGTTTGGACTAGTTTTGTTTCAGAACCACATATGCCGCCGGGCTCACGGATAAAATGCCGCCGGGCTTACGGAGAATAAACCACCCCCACCCCGACCCTCCCCTCTTTCCTTCTTGCGGTTTCTTCGTTTGTTACTGTAGGTGTTTCTTCAGGCTTGTTAGGTTGTTCTTGAGGTTCGTTTCCCTGCCCCTCGGCTTCGCACGTTGAACTTTTTTCGCTACTCCTATCTTTCTCTCTTGCCCTTTTCGGTTTGCTCTCTCTGTCGTTCTTTCTTTCTTTATTTGTTTCTGTCTGTTTTTTTTCTGTCTTTATTTTGTTTTTCTTGCTTTATGTGTTTCTGTATTTCTTGTTTTTTGTTTTTCTTTCTTTCTGTTTTTCCTTTTTTCTTTCTGGATTTATTTATTTATGTTTTTATTTCGTTTCTGTTTTTTCTGTATTTCTTTCTTTCTTTTCTGGTTTTTCTGTCTTTTGTTTTTTTTCTTTCTTTTTTGTTTTTTGTTTTCTTTATTTATTTTTTTTTTTGTCGTTATTTCTTTCTTTTTGTCTTTCTTTCTGTCCTTCTTTATTTATGTGTTTTTCTTTCTTTCTTTCTGTCTTTCTGTTTTTTTCTTTCTTTATTTCTTTCTTTCTTTCTGTCTTTCTGTCTTTCCTCCTTTCTTTCTGTCTTTCTTTCTTTCTTCCTTCCTTCCTTCCCTTTCTTTCTCTCTCTCTCTCTCTCTCTCTTTCTTTCTTTCTTTTCTGAGGCTTATTAGGTGGCTAATCAGGTTTTGACCCTGTAATTTGCCGCTCTTGCGGCAGACATGCACGCCCCTACACCTATCTTTCTCTCTTGCCCTCTTCGCTTTGCTCTTTTTTCTTTCCTTTTTCTTTTTCTAAGGCTTGTTAGGTGACTATTCGGGCTTTTACCGCAGTGAGCGCCGCTATGCGGCGCTGTGTGTGTGTGTGTCCCACTCTCCGTCTCCAGGGGTTTAATTCCTTTCTAACAAAACAAGCAGGGGACCAGGCAGGATACATCGTCGCCTGGTCAACGAAAGTTGGCGATGTATTCTGAGGATATGGAAATGGGACGCCTGCCATTTCCACGTACCTGCACTGCCATCCAAAGGAAATGATTCTCGGCCGTTCCTTCTGTTGACCCTTTTCTACTCTAATGGGGCGATTCGAAAGTCTCGCCCCCTAGCGATAAACTCGAACCTTGATTTCTTTTCTTGCTGTTTCTACCCTATTTGAAGCGATTCCTTTGGTCTCGCTTCCAGATGGACCTTACCCCATTATGCGCGGCCGTACTTCGAGACCGCTAAGTAGTCAGTAACTAAACTGCTCTGCACTGCTATCCAGGGAAACAGAAGGAAATGGTTCTCGGCGGACTTGCGCGTCGGTTCCTTTCCTTCTGTTGACCCTTTTCTAATCTATTCAGAAGTCTCGCCCCCTAGCTGTAAACTGGAGCCATCATTTCTTTTTTTCTAAATATTTTCGACCCTATTTGAAGCGATTCCTTTGGTCTCGCTTCCAGATGGAACTTACCCCGTTACGCATGGCCGTAATTCGGGACCGCTAAGTATTCAGTAGCTAAACTGCTGCAGTTGCGCATAAACCTTTCTGTTCAAACATCTACAAATCGCGCGGACTTTTCGCCATCATTCCTTTCTCCGTGGATTCTCTCACTGGATGGACCTATATCAAAGTGTGATTCGCTGCGCTTTCCCACCTGGGTGCACAGTGTGATCCCCTGCAAAGGGGCGCAGAAGCCATTGTGAATCACATATCGATTTAGCGTTTCTGCACTCGTGGGTTATGGTTTGGACTAGTTTTGTTTCACCCATGTTTCACCCATGAATCAGCTGAACCATACGCCGCCGGGCTCGCGGATAGAATGCCGCCGGGCTTACGGAGAATAAACCCCCACCCCGACCCTCCCCTCTTTCCTTCTTGCGGTTTCTTCGTTTGTTACTGTAGGTGTTTCTTCAGGCTTGTTAGGTTGTTCTTGAGGTGCGTTTCCCTGCCCCTCGGCTTCGCACGCTGAACCATTTTCGCTACTCCTATCTTTCTCTCTTGCCCTTTTCGTTTTGCTCTTTCTTTCTTTCCTTCTTTCTTTCTTTTTTCTTTCTTTTTTTCTTTCTTTCTTTCTTTCTGTCTGTCTGTCTGTCTTTCTTTCTGTCTGTCTTTCTTTCTTTCTTTCTTTTCTTTCTTTCTTTCTTTCGTTCTTTCTTTCTTTCTTTTCTTTCTTTCTTTCTTTCTTTCTGTCTTTCTTTCTGTCTTTCTTTCACTCTTTCTTTCTTTCTTTCTTTCTTTCTTTCTTTCTTTCTTTCTTTCTTCTTTCTCCACCTGTCAGGCGAGGGTTGTTAGATGTTACGTCAGCCCCATCTCCTCCGCCTCCGCCTCCTCCTCCTCCGCCTCCTCCGCCGGACCTCAACCGCGACCATCCACGCTCAGTGTTCCCTGCCGGACCTCACCCACAACCATCCGCGCCCAGCCTTCCCTGCGGACCTCAACCGCGAGCTCCAGACCCAAGTCTTCCCCACCGGACCTCAACCGCAACCATCCGCGCCCAGTGTTCCCTGCCGGACCTCAACCGCGAGGTCCAGACCCAAGTCAAGTGTTCCCCACCGGACCTCAACCGCGACCATCCGCGCCCAGTGTTCCCTGCCGGACCTCAACCGCGAGCTCCAGGCCCAAGTGTTCCCTGCCGGACCTCAACCACAAACACGCAATCACAACCACTACCAGTACCACAAACACAATCACAAAAACACTGCCACAAACACAATCGCAAACACACATCCACAAACACAAACACAGCCACAAACACACACCCACAAACACACGACCACAAACACACAACCACAAACACACAACAACAAACACGCAACCACAAACACACAACCACAAACACAACCACAACCACAACCACAACCACTACCACTACCACTACTACTACTACTACTACTACTACGACCACCACCACCACTACTTTTACTATTACTATTACTACTACTACTACTACTACGACGACGACCACCACCACCACCACCAATACTTTTGCTATTACTATTACTATTACTATTACTACTACCACTACTACTACTACTACTACCACTACTACGACTACCACAACTACGACTACCACTACCACTACTTTTACTACTACTACTACTACTACTACTACTACTACTACTACTACTACCTACTACTGCTACTGCTACTACTACCATTACCACTGCCACTGCCACTGCCACTACCACTACTACCTGCACATACCACTACCACTACCACTACTACTACTACTACTACCACCACTACCACCACTACCACCACTACCACTACCACTACTACTAGTACCACTACTACTCCTACTATGGCCCCGGAAGTTTCCCAGTTTTGGGCCGCCCAGTACGACTACTACTGAAATGATGTGAGTTGCATTATTAGGGCACAGGTCTCCTGATGAAAGCATTCGCTTCGGACAAAACAGTAAGACTTGGCGCTGAAGGACTTGTGCTATGGGCTGAAATACACAACGAGGGTGATGTCAACGTGGCTGTTTTGAAATGTCATGGTGGGGATCACTCGAAGTAAAGTAATTTGTTCTTTCTTTCGTTCTTTCTTTCGTTCTGTTTTTCCTTCTTTCTTTCTTTCCTTTCTAAGGCTTGTTAGGTGGCTAATCAGGCTTCGACCCCATAATTTGCCACTCGTGCAGCAGACATGTACACCCCTACACCTATCTTTCTCTCTTGCCCTCTTCGCTTTGCTCTTTTTTCTTTCCTTTTCCTTTTTCTAAGGCTTGTTAGGTGACTATTCAGGTTGTTACCGCAGTGATCGCCGCTATGCGGCGCTGTGTGTGTGTGTGTGTCCCACTCTCCGTCTCCAGGAGTCTAATTCCTTTCTAACAAAGCAAGCAGGGACCAGGCAGGATACATCGTCGCCTGGTCAACGAAGCTGGCGATGTATCTGAGGATATGGAAATGGGACGCCATTTCCACGTACCTGCAATGCTATCCAGGGCAACAGAAGGAAATGATTCTCGGCGGACTTGCGCGTCGGTTCCTTTCCTTCTGTTGACCCTTTTCTAATCTAATGGGGCGATTCGAAAGTCTCGCCCCCTAGCTATAAACCGGAACCTTCATTTCTTTTTGTCCAACTATTTTCTACCCTATTTGAAGCGATGCCTTTGGTCTCGCTTCCAGATGGAACTTAACCCATTGTGCATGGCGGTAATTCGGGACCGCTAAGTATTCAGTAACTAAACTGCTGCAGTTGCGCATAAACCTTTCTGTTCAAACATCTACAAATCGCACGGGCTTTTCGCCATGCAGTTCCACCATTCCTTTCTCCGAGGATTCTCTCACTGGATGGATGGCCCTATATCTAAGTGTGTGTTTGTGTGTCAGTGTGCTGAACTAAACATGGCACAGCAATTGCACTGAACTTCAACAACAAACCAGACCTCTCCTGAACGTATGGGCCTAACCACTCTCCCAACTGTGCTTGAAGGACTTGCAGAGGAGATCGTCGTTCTTTCGTGCTCCTTTTGGCACCCAGGTAGCTGGAAAGGAATTACAAGGAAGAGAAAAACTCGCTGCTGTAAGCCAATCAGAAATCTGCCCACTCTAGCTTTGTCAGTTCGAGAGTATCTGTTGATTGGCTTTGGAAAGGGTGGCCTCCTGTTCGGGCAACTTGCCAAGTGCACTTTCGTGTGTCGCAATTTGAGAGAGCTTGGTAAAATGACTTAGGTTTTGGAAAGGCGCATGATTCTAATTTGAGTCTAATCTGAGTCTGAGTCGGAATCTGAGTTTCTTGTCTGAGTCTTTTTTTGAGTAGGTTGCTGAGCGTTTTTCATCTTGATCCCTTGCTGTCTGAGATCGTGTTATCATAAGTCAAGGTTGAAAGCGTTCCATCCACCAGCACTCGGCAGGCTTAATCTGGGTCGCAGCAAGGTGCTTTAAATGATTCAAAACAAAATATGGGTCTCTCGGGCGATTGTGTACTGTAATTCCTTGTAATGCGGCTGCAAAACATATGAAGCAAGGGCTGAACACTGCAAAACAAAATATGTTCCACTCAAACCCTGCGGTGTGGGTGCAAAGCGGGGGAATGTGTTCATGTCAAAATGATTCAAAATGCACACTGCGACACTTGCCCTACTTCACTCTGAGCTGCTTACGATTTGGAGGTGCTGGACAACGCCTCGGCAGCACCCTAAACTGCGCTACTCATGGACAATACTGAGCCATTGCTTGAAAACGCGTCAGATGGTCCAGAAACATTGAGCTTTAGCACGTTCAGCCGCGAGGAGAAAAGACTTGTCGGGCCTGGTTAGCATGAAGGTTGTGTTCACTTGGTTTTGGTTAATGAAGGGGTCAGCTTTAACTGGGAATCGTGCTCGTGGCCCTCCCAACCTCGACTTGCCCGCAGAAAAGACCGCACAAAACGTCAAATTGGCAAAATAGAGCAAAGCGGGAAGAGCTTTGCAGTGCCTGAATGCTGTCACTTTCCAGAGCCAATGCCTGCTGCACGCTTGCTTAGCATGTGAATATGTCGCCTGTTCAAAAACTCTTATAATCCGTTTCATTGCATGGTGATTGTTGTGCTTCAAGTGCTGCTTCATTCATACTGTTCACAGAGTCAACTGATTGAAGTTTGCTTTATTGCGAATGATCATCTTTGGGTCGCATGGTTTGGTTCCTGGGTTCTTGCCTTGTCGACATAAACCAGGAAATATGCTCTGCCAGTTGGGATTCGGTACCTTCAAAACCCGACCAACTAAATCCTGAGATGCCATCAGCTTCTTGGAGGTCACATCAAGGGGCTGATCAGGATGACGCCGTGAGCCTGCACGGCTTGACCAACGGAAATAGATATTGATATCCCAAAACGGAAACTGCATGCCTGAGCATCCGAAGTGAAAGGTGCATATCCAAATTTGCTGGCTAGCGGTTCCTGAAGACATCCAGGTGGTGCCATCAGAGTTATGTTCTATGCATATTTTCGAAAAAATGAACCTTCGCATAGAGCCTCTACATCCTTTACTGGGAATTCCCGCTGAAGGGTGTCTCCTTTCAAACATGTGAAGGGTTCAGCATCCGGACCCGCCGTAGTAGCTTCCTGTCCCTTACTAGACCAGCTTACAAACCCTTCACAGCCTCCACCAGTAAGTAAAAATTAAGGAAAATAACAAAATGAACAAGTAAGAAATTGTATAAATATCTGGTGTGCGTGTGTGTGTGTGCTACATGTATGTGCCTACGGGTGTAAAACCGAACGTGTGACTACTGCGATTTTTGAAGTTGATGCTACGTGAAAGGTGGGGGGGTTGGGTTGGGGTGGGATGAGAACATTGTCATTATTTTCACGACAAGTAACCTTCGGTTTCATAGCATTGTCATCGGTTTCACCACATTATCTTCGGTTTCATGGCATTGTCATCGGCTTCATAACATTGTCATCGATTAGTCGTGTGAGTAAAATGGGGTGGGGGGGGTGATGGAATGAGGATGTGGATGTCATGCTGAGAACATTGTCATCGATTTCGCGACAAGTAATCTTCGGTTTCATATCATTGTCATCGGTTTCATAACATTGTGATCGATTAGTCATGTGATTAAAATGGGGTGGGGGGGGGTGGGGGGAGGTTGTGATGGAATGAGGATGTTGATGTCATGCTGAGAACATTGTCATCGATTTCACGACAAGTAATCTTCGGTTTCATAGCACTGTCATCGGTTTCATAACATTGTCATCGATTAGTCGTGTGATTCCGCGGATGGCAGTGGCGTTGGGAAAACACCACGTTGTACTAACTTGTGCAAAAAACTGCGCAAGTCTACTTGAGACAGGACGCATGAAAGCTGAGGACAGCCCGGGGCAAAAACGGCGACGGATTTTGCGCTGGCGCTTGGGTTTCGGCAGATTCGGCTTTAAAAATGAAAGGATCCGGGACCCCTAAAAAACATCATCGAACAAGCAAAAGTACTGAGAGGGCTTGCACTTTTGAATCAAAATTTGCACGACTACACGTGCGATTCCACACCCGGCGGGATGTATGTGTATATACTGCGGACTGTGCATGTATATATAACACATGTTGTACATCTACCCGCTCTAATGGGTTTTTGAGCCTGGAATGTCGTGCCAGTTGTCTGTGAGACACGCAGGATGGGAAGCCCGACGAGTCGTGAGATATGTATATATGTTAGTACAACAGAAGAGTGTCTAATCTTATGAATCATATGAATATAAACATATATACATATATATATATATACATGCTACATTCCATATGCTATATGATACTATGTGGACATATGCATAAGTATATATTCATACACGTGGTTTCCGGGAACTCCCTCATTTCCAATGCTATTTGTATGTGCAGTGTCTTCAGCTGATTTGTCGAATTGAACTGCGGGAATGTTTGTGATTTTCTTTTTGTAATCCACAGCTCTTTCGCATGGTGGTGAGGATGGGCGACCACCCGTGTCCCACCCTTGTCCCACCCCTTCGTATGTATTCTGCTCTCCCGTTGGAACCAGATCGGGATCTGCAATGATTGAAGGACGCCATACAAGGAGGGAGCCATGAAGATAAATAAGGACCAAAAATGAAACGAACCATGGAGATAGGACCAATTACCACTGGTTGCATAACGTGAGAACGACACCGTGCAGATTTGGATATACAGTAGAAACAATTCAGGAGACCAGAAATGCTTCATCAAAGACATATTTGTTTGACACAAGGCCCTCTTGCAAATGCTGACCAACCCAGCCGCAGATCCATGTTGGATTGAAGCTGTTGTTGGATTGAAGCCAACTTGAGATCAGGTGAGATCAGGATGCTGTAGATTGACAAGTTGTTTGCATCAAATCCATGCGATCCAACATTGGGTTGGGAGAACCTAAAGATTTCAGGATTGGGGACATTGGATTTGGAACATTGGGAGACATTGGGGTGTGTCTGAATATGTTACGAAGTCTCCACCAAAGGGATAGAAAAACACCAAGCACCAGGGTCAAAGAGATCAAAGAGTTGTGTACCACAAGAATTGGAATCAAGGAAATTGTTATTCTAATTTCAAAGTTAGAAAGCATTGAAATGGATCCATCGAGTGTTAATTGATTTGAGAAGACGCTGACTGGCTGATTGAGTGGGCATATTCTAGTACAAAATGGAGATGGAGAAGCAGCATCAGCTTCCTGCCCATCCATTGAACCATGACAGAAGCCCACAAATTCAGCCCATGAAACAAAGGAGCTGGAGTTCTGAAGGCGTTACTTGTGATCGGAGATCTCAGATGAAGGTCTCTAATGTTTGAAAGGGGCTTGGCCCCAGAAGAGTGGAGAGGACCGGCAATGGGTGGGAGTCGTGGATCAAAAGGCAACTGGCTCACCTATGTAGGCTTCATGTAGAACATTATACAGTAGAACCAATGCATGAACAATCTTTTTGGTGTATGAAGCAAAAACGGGTGACCTATTAGAAACTGCTGGGGAGAGTTGAGCTATACAATTGGTTTCCATGAGATGAACTGAACCATTCACAGGCAATAGAGGCGGGTCAACTCTAGCAAACCTTTGCAACAAAGACCCATAATTTTAGGCCAAAGGTTATAGAGCAAATGAAGTATGAGCAATTCTGATAATAATAAATCAAGGTGTGTATATTATATATAATACATAATTTGCTAGAATCTAGGAGAAAGAATCCTTACAGTAGCTCTATTGAAGGTCAGGGGTTTTGTGGCTTCACAGGGATCCCCTTTAGTCATTGATACTTGGCAAGTGCTGATAGCTGGTTAGTGTGAAAATGTGTTGAGACTGTCCACCAAGTCCTTGGATGATCCAAGCTATGAAAGCAAAAGGAAATGGATTCAGAAGGCAAGGAATGAAGCAGCAAACAAGGAACAGCGACAATATGCTCACCGTCTGTGTCTGTCAACACATCATTCATGAACCACCCTAACCTACAACTGTCTTCAAAAGGGGGATCCTGGACATAGAATACGTTCGAAGCTTGAGAAGCAGAGATCCAACATGTGGTCAAAGTCGAAATCAGATTTTGTTCTGTACTCTCACGCTTCCTAGCGGCATTATCATGACTACGTGTGGCAATGTTGATCTTGTTCCAGAGAATTTCATTGACGAGTTAGCACATGTTAGCACCAATCTGCAGAAATGCGAGCCATCCTCTGAGCGCCGCGCATCCAAGGATGCCAACAATGCTGGAGCCTTTACCGACTCCTGTCAGTCTCAGAGTGGCTCCTTGCCAAGATGGTTTGCTGAGATCCATGCGTTGAAAGCCACAGAATAGCACAGGCTGGATGCTCCGTCCTGAAACAACAATCCGGCTAATCATTGGGTTTCACTCAGTCTATCTTCGCACTCGAAGGCGGCTTGTCAGACCAGACCACTCCTGCATGGGGTCCGGCTTGATTCTAAGCTGGTACTTAGAACGCCTGGGAAGCAGGACCAGGAATTGCAAAGGAGGGAAGGGTCTTCCCCTGGCCGCCAGTGTCATTGAGATGATGAAGCACTGAGGTTGCAGCGGGAGTGGGATCTTGACGCGGATTAAAAAGTTCCAATTTGGTAGTCGTTGAGCCTGGCAGACCGTCAAGAACTCGATAGCAGCGTCACAGCTGTCAGAGTAATTTCAAAGCACTCAAAAGCCTGCGCAGCCCTGGGCACAATGTCAGTCTCTCCACCAAAGCGAACCACATGGAGCCTCAAACATCCAATTACTCACGGTGCTTCAGTCTAGTACACAACAGAGGTTTGAGCGGCTGGCTCCGCTTTCACTGCAGGAACGCATCCACGGATAGTTACAAGCAAGTCCTTATTCGCAAGCTCGTCACTTTTGCATTCCTTGGGTCGATATCTTTTCAACAAACTGGTGTGCCAAAGCACGCCAGCAAGGTCCGCTAACATGCGTTTTACCACTTGGTTTCAAGGGCCCTGTGCCCGATGTTGGTTTGAGCATGCGGCGGCTGCAAACACCTGGATTTATGTCGGGACAGCTGAATGTGACTGATTCTCACACCCATCATACTCTACACGACTCAATCTCCGCCGGATTCCAAAGCCCGCTCGAATCGGCTTCACCGACAAGCTGAACTTGCAAAACTGCACCAATTCGCGCACCGAATCCCAGCACATGGCTTGCGTGAGCTCATCGGCAATCATGTCTTTGGCGCAAACCCACCAAAGCTGGTCGGTGGCCTCCACCGGCATGTGGGGACTTGAGTGGACGGCGCCCCAGCTTGCCGCCACAACTCTTGCTTCAATGCCGACACGTCTATTGCTAGACGCTTGTCGCTGACAGTCCCTGGGCTTGCGGCGCTCAGGTAGTCAACAAAGCTGCGACAATCTGACACCCAGCAAATCAGCTTATGGTCAGCAGCTAGCTGAGTACCTCGATCCCAAAACCTTGGGCTGCCGCAAGGAGTAGAGGATCATCCGGATCCGCTCTGCCTCCTCTGAGCCGTGCATCGAAGAAAGTACTTCAGCCTGAAGCGTTGACCTGCAGACTCTCTTCTGACACCATGTCTCGTGATCCAGCTGTGGCATATGGTCTGCCAGTAGGAGGAACCTTCCTCCTTGGGACTTGTGGCCCTGTTTGTTTCCGTTCTCATCCACAATCAGCTCGGCTGCGTGTGATGCGTCCGTCACGGACAAGAGAACAGCCTCCTCGAAGTTGAACTTGCCCTTCACGAACCTGATGCCATTTTTGCTTGTCTTCTGAGCTGCACTCAGCAACTTGTTGGTCGCCTTCAGGCCCACGACGGTTGGGCTGCTCTGCTTTCCCTGTAGCGCAAAGCACACGTAGCTCAGCTCCGGTCTGCCGGGCCTTGCGACCCATCCAATGGATCCCAGAACAGCTCTCATCTGGGATTGCTCCTGACTGCTTGCATGGTCCGTAGGTTGCCTCATCCGCTCGCGGTCCACATGCGCCGGCTTGGTCTCGCAGAAACGGAAGTTTCCAGAGTCCATCGAACCAAAAGTGAAGCGCTGCTGAACTCGACTCATCAGCTCGTCCATCTTGTTGTCGCCTGTCCAAATGAGGTCATCAACATGGCTGCATACCATGCCACAGGCGCGACCTTCATCGCTCAGTAGACTGCCAGGTCAATCTCCGTGAGTCCTTGCTCGAGTAGCTCTTGGCGAAGTTCCAGCCAGAATCCTCAAGGAGCGCCCTTGCTGCCGTAGACCGACATCAATGCAATGAGGTATAGGTCATCGGAGGAACGTCATCTCCTTCCTCTGTTGGGACGATTCCATCCTTTGGCGCTGTCAGAATCAAGGTCCTCCGTATTGAGGCTCCTTGAAGGAAAGCGGCGGGCTGATGTCTCCAGACTTCAGCTCCAGGTTGTTCGCGGCCGCATAGGACAGCAGGATGTGGACACACACACTCCGCTTGCAGTCGGACAATCTGTGCGGAAGGTTTCTTCTCCAGATCTCCTCGGATCACCAGCCGACTCTTGAGCTTCTCAGTTACTTCCGGTCCTCCTGCAACCCTCAACTTCTCATTCTTGTCGTGTCCACGCCGACCCGTCGCATTGGGATGGCCTTGTATCCTCCCCTTCGTTCTTGTCCGGAAAGTCGCAGTCCGCCTTGTTATAGGATATCTCATGGTTGTCAGCCTTGCCCTTCCTCTTGGCCAGAAAGCAAACAAACTCCTGAGACAAAGCATAGTGGATCCTCTCTCTGGTTTCATCCGACAGCCTCCTGCACCTCGCTCTTCTCAGAGTGAGCTCTGCTGCTGATGGCTCATTTTTCACCTTGACCATGCTGCTCCATGGCCATTGCCTTGGCCAGAGCGGTGCGAACGTGTTGAGAAGGCGTAGTCGCCTGGTCCGTCAGTAGTGGCTGAGATGACTCAGCTGCGGCAGGTTTGTCTGGTTGGGCATCTTGTTCATCAGAAGTCGGATGGGTGAACTTGTTCTTCATCAGGTAGTCCGAGTTCTGGCCGCTGTTGACCCAGTCTTCCAGCCACTCGTGAGCCCGGGTCAGGTTCTTCTTGCCGATCTCGCTTATTGGCCTCATCTTCTTGTTCTCCAGGCAGTGCTCCTAAGACTGCTGCTCCTCCACCGGCGCGCATATCCAGGTAAGGCACTTGTCGTTGATCACGAAGCCTGCGCCGTCCAAGGGCTCTGGCTCCTCATTTCCTAGGTTCCCACGCACCACCATGTAGGAGAAGGCGTCCTGGTTCGTGTTCTCAAACCCAGACCCGCCAAAGCCGCCTTTCTTGCCCTTGCCTTTTGATCTCCTCGACGGACTGTTTGGACCTTGGCTTGCCGCTCCTGTGGTGAAAGTAGAGCGCTTCCCCAGTTTGAGCCATTCACTGCGGTGCTCACTCCTCTCTGCTCAGACTGGGTCCTCGTGTAGTAGACCGCCAACTCGGTCTCAACGGCATCAATCATCATGCCCAAGTCTTCAGCGCCACAGACCTGAGCATCGATGGCCAGTTCTGAGAACAATGCAACCACTTCCTCTTCGATCTCACGTTCTCGATCATCCATCATCCTCAGCAAAGTTGGCCTCGTCCTCTTGGTAGGCCTGCAGTCTCATAGGCTGCCGCCTCGCCGCCTCCGCCGTTGCGTCCTCAACATATATAGGGCTCCTCGACCATGTAGCTCGAGCGGTGATTCCAGCTCTTTGATGGACTCTCATAGCGACCGTTGTCTCGTCCATCAAATCGGCCACAGCCTTTCCCTTTTCCGCTGCCCTTCGACTCCTTTTCATGCACCTGGCCGAATTGCTCCTGTAGGGCATTGTTGAGCTTCGCCATGTCCGACAAGTCGTTGTTGCAGACCATCCTGATCATCTGCATTTCAATGCGGCAACCCACTATGTTCTCCAGCTCGGACAACAGTGCCTTGGCTCCGCGACTTGCAACGCTGGGCCACCAGGCTCAGTCCCAACGGGCCAAGCTTCTTCTTCTCGGTGTCTGACAGCGTCTGCTCCTTCGGGCCTGCACCGAGACTTGTAGTCCGGCCAGCTTGACACTTCGCCACCAAAGCCAGGCAGCGCCTTCGGGTCAGCATTGACCCACTGCTTAAACATCCCATACCGTAGGGTATCCAGTGCCACGGCGACCCACTCGTGCGGGTGAGACGGTGGCACTGGCAGCGCGTGAGGTCGCAGGAGCAAAAGCTCTGCTGCCAGCTTCAACAAACTGTGCCAAAGCATGCCAGCAAGGTCCGCTAGCACGTGTTTATTTTACCACTTGGCTTCAAGGGCCCTGTGCCCGATGTTGGTTTGAGCATGCGGCGGTTGCAAACACCTGGATTTATGTCGGGACAGCTGAATGTGACTGATTCTCACACATCTTTTCTTTTTGCACTTCATCCGCCGTTGGTCTAGCCAGTAGCCTCTGGGTAGATATCAAATTAAACAGGCATAGACCCCAAACAGCAATTCGTTCACCCCAAGAGCAAACTGCTTCATCAATGAATTTTTGTCGGCATTGACATCGCTATTTGTTCGGCCACACTCCTCTCCAGTAAGGCCACAGAGTTCAGGGGCGCGGGCAAGACAAGGACAAGAGGAGGACAAGAAGAAGGCCCAGGCATAAAGCCGAGCCACAGAGGACAAGAGGAGGACAAGGCCTGGACACAGAGCCCAACCACAAGGCCTGGACACATAGCCCAGCCACAGAGACCAGCCACAGAGTTCAGGAGACACAGAACAAGAGGAGGACAAGGCCTGGACACAGAGCCCACCCACAGAGCCCACAGAGCCCAGCCACAGGGACAACAGCCCAGCCACAGAGGACAAGAGGAGGACACGGCCTGGACACAGAGCCCAGCCACAGAGTTTAGGGGCACGGCCAGTGAGTGTGGGGCCAGCCTTTTTGTCTCTGTCTGGGGAAAATCCACACACACACACACATATATATATATATATTTATTTAAGCGCCGCAACTCTCTCAGCGCCCAAGGAATGCTCCACCCCATCCGCAACAATGTCCATAGATGGATGTGACATTGGCCTGGCACGTTGTTAGGCTTGCGCTGTCGTCTTGAGGACAAAGTCATCCTTTCATCATTCCACATCGGAGTGTCAAACTTGCCAACGCTGGCTGAAGGAGGGGCTTTCTCTGGAACTCGCTCGCCTTACGGCAGACATCGAGCCAACAGCAACTATGTAGATAACTTAAAAAATAGAGCCCACGAACCCGAATGCAAACACGTTCGAGCAGCTACATATGTCCAAATGACACTCTTGTAGGACACTCTTGTGGGACACTCTTCTGGGAAACTCTTGTGGAACACTCTTGTGGGACACTCTTGTAGGAAACTCTTGTGGGTCACTCTTGTAGGACACTCTTGTGGAACACTCTTACAGGCCACTCTTGTGGGGCTCTCTTGTGGGACACTCTTGTAGGACACTCTTGTGGGACACTCTTATGGGACACCCTTGTCGGACATTCTTGTGGGACACTCTTGTGAGACACTCTTGTAGGACACTCTTGTGGGTCACTCTTACAGGACACTCTTGTGGGACACTCTTGTGGAACACTCTTGTAGGACACTCTTGTAGGAAACTCTTGTGGGATACTCTTGTAGGACACTCTCGTGGGACACTCTTGTAGGGCACTCTTGTGGGACACTCTTGTAGGGCACTCTTGTGGAACACTCTTGTGGGGCACTCTTGTGCGACACTCTTGTGGGACACTCTTGCGGGTCACTCTTGTGTGACACTCTTGCAGGAAACTCTTGTGGGACACTCTTGTAGGACACTCTTGTGGGAAACTCTTATAGGACACTCTTGTGGGACACTCTTGTGGGACACTCTGGTAGGACACTCTTGTAGGACACTCTTGTGGGTCACTCTTGTGGGAAACTCTTGTGGAACACTCTTTTTGGGCACTCTTGTGGGAAACTCTTATGGGACACTTTTGTGGGACACTCTTGTGGGACACTGTTGTAGGGCACTCTTGCAGGACACTCTTGTGGGTCACTCTTGTAGGAAACTCTTGTGGAACGCTCTTACAGGACCCTCTTGTGGGACACTCTTACGGGACACTCTTGTAGGACACGCTTGTGGGACACTCTTATAGGGCACTCTTGTGGGTCACTCTTATGGGACACTCTTGTCGGACACCCTCGTGGGACACTCTTGTGAGACACTCTTGTAGGACGCTCTTGTCATGTGGGTCACTTGCAGGACACTCTTGTGGGACACTCTTGCGGGACACTCTCGTAGGACACTCTTGTGGGACACTCTTGTAGGAAACTCTTGTGGGGCACTCTTGTAGGACACTCTTACAGGACACTTTGTGGGACACTCTATCTGGCACACTCTTGTAGGACACCCTTGTGGTACACTCTTGTAGGACACTTGTGGGACACTCTTGTGGGACACTCTTGTGGGACACTCTTGTAGGAAACTCTTGTGGGATACTCTTGTCGGACACTCTTATGGGACACCCTTGTCGGACATTCTTGTGGGACACTGTTGCGGGACACACATGTGGGACACTCTTGTGGGACACTCTTATGGGACACTCTTGTAGGAAACTCTTGTGGGACACTCTTGTAGGACACTCTCGTGGGACACTCTTGTAGGACACTCTTGTGGGACACTCTTGTAGGGCACTCTTGTGGGACACTCTTGTGGGGCACTCTTGTGTGACACTCTTGTAGGAAACTCTTGTGGGACACTCTTGTAGGACACTCTTGCGGGGCACTCTTATAGGACACTCTTGTGGGACTCTTGTGAGACACTCTTGTGGGACACGGTTGCGGGACACTCTTGTGTTCTAGTAGAGACTCATACGGGACACTCTATCTGGGACACTCTATCTGGGACAGTCTTGTAGGACACTCTTGTGGGTCACTCTTGTGGGTCACTCTCGTAGGAAGCTCTTGCGAGGCACTCCTTTGGGACGCTCTTGATACCACAAATCATCCCGCTCACCAGCGACACGCCGCGTTTACGCC